TACCGCCGAAAGGGATAGTTATCGCTTAAAATAGCTTTAAACTTTAGTTTATTAAAATAAGAACTTATAATTTGTATGAATTTAGTCAGAATCATATTGAAAATTTTGCTTCATTTTGGGACTTTCTGGCTATGTCCATTATACCTCTTCTTCACCTCATCCGTTTTCGTTATTCTATGATTTTATTACAACAAAATACAACAACAAGCGAGAATGGGTAATTATTAAATTTATTACAGTTGTGCTCAAGGAAATTATATACCTAATATTCAGTACACGATTTGAATTTTTTGAATTTTGTTATTTGAATTTGTGAGTTGGGAGAACTTGAATTCAAAAACAAAACTAACACCATCAATTTTTCTGTAACAAAGAAATATTCAACATCTTAATATAAATTTTGAATATTCAAATTTTTTTCATATTCTTCTCAATTTACTTACTTGCAATATTTTTGTACTCTCCCTTGTACACCTACAATTACACGCAAAAATTAACATTGAAACAAATTATCGAATTTGATGAAATTTTTTTTTTTCTTTATTTTTACAAACGCTTTTGCAAGTGCTGCAAACATTTGAAATTACAGTGAAGAATATTTTTGTGCTTTTTCCAATTTGAAATTAGAATTATTTTGTACTATGAAAAAAGCATTATTATTGTAATTATGCATTGAAAACACAATGGTCTAACACAAGAAAAAAAATTATTGTAATAACAAAAAGAATGCATTTCAAATTATTGTTATTAGTGATGGTTGCCGATCATCTTGTATAACAATTTTGAGAATTCTATATATAGAAATAGATTCAGAATATAAGCGCAATAATAGCAATTTAACACATAGGAAATGGTTATAAGAAGAATTTAAAAATTCAATATGGGTCATAAAATCTTGGAATAAAAACCCATAGCTTTGAGCGTAACAAAAACTACCTTACTATAACAGAGAAACGTGTTATCTTTCTGTACTTTATTTTTATCAGAATTATTACATTTTATCGGAGTTCTTTTTCTACAACATTGAAATAATTTTTTTTTTTTGATAAATTAAAATATTTTTAAATTATTACGTAAAAGAAAACGCGCCTAAAGAATTTTCGTTTAAAAAAATTTTTTCTGGAATTTTTCTAGATTTTGGTAAATTGTCCTTATTATTTTCCGCTGTATATTCGCTGTATAATTCTAAAATAAATATTGTCGTTATTGCGATTTTAAAAAATTCTTATTCATTTTAATCTGAATAATTGCCAAGAGTTCTTCAAGCAATTTAAAAAATTTAGCATATAAAATTTAAAAAATCAAAAAACGAAAAATTTTAGCATGTTATCAATCGAAAATTCAGCTTCAACCCCTTATGTTAAACTGAATTACAGCGAAAGTTTTATCAAATAAATTATAGAGTTTAAATAAAAAAATCGAAACAGAAACCCACTAATTCAGAGAATTAGTTTAGAAAAAAAATGTTATTTAATTGCTCATCCTTCAGTTTTCAATACTTTGTCTACTGCAATTATCAGTTCTAAGCGGCTATATGAAATTTTATTATGGTGCTGAAATTTCAAAGGGAAAATCAAGATTTTAATCAAGATGTATGCCTATATGACTGAAATTTACAAGTGTTCTTTATAAAATTTGAAGGGATTAAATTTTAATAATTTTTCCGAAAATTTAACAGTTTAGTAGGAATTTCATTTGGTAAAAATCACTCTATTTTTCTCTTAATCTTATTTCTAGTATTGCGTCAAACTTTTTTACATTTCATTATAGTTTTGCGAATTCTAGCAGCAAGTAAGGTATAAGAATACAATATATTCAATTATTTGGCGAGTTGGTAAGGTATCATAGCAAAACTACTTTCATATTAAAATTTCAAATTAGCAAAATTTTCCCGAAATTGTTCACTAATACCAAAAATGAATAAGAAATTTAAAAAAAAAAATGAATGTCTAAAATCTATCATGTTTTTAGCGGAAAATACAAGATTTCACAAAATGAATATTTCTTATATGAAGAGATCAGCTTTTAATAACACCATTGTAAGTGAAAAGAACTGAAAGTGAAACCAATATTCTGTAATTTTTTTTTTACCGACCGTATTGTGTAAACAATAGGTAGGTTATGTGATGGCAACAAATTTTGCATATCGAGTTTTCGGTGGGAACGTACTTCTCCATAGTAGGGAAGTGTAAATAAACTACTTTTAGCAACCTGTCGGTCTGTCGGTCTGTCGGTCTGTCGGTCTGTCGGTCTGTCGGTCTGTCCGTCTGTCGGTCTGTGTGTGCACGCGTGTATCTCAAGTTCGGCTGAACCGATTTTGATGAAATTTTATATGTAAGTTTGTTTCCACCATGGCACGGATCGATCAACTTTTGGTATATATCAGGCCTCGGGAACTGCACTTTTTAGCGGGCCTGTTTTACATTTTTGAACATTTTGAAGAAAGTATTCAACCGATTTACTTGAAATTTTATATATAAGCTCAGCTCGACCGTCCGCAAAAATTCGTATGTTTTGGAAGAAATCAGGCATCGGCAACTAGACGTTTACAACGGGCCAAATATACATTTTTGTGTATATAAAGAGAAATTATCAACCGATTTCATTGAAATTGAATATATGAACTCCTCGTATTAAAACAATGAACATGTAAATTTTTTGGAAAGATCAGGGCTCGAAAAAGGATTTGCGGGCCGATTTTACATTTTTCACCATTTTGAAGAAAGTATTCAACCGATTTACTTGAAATTTCATATATAAGCTTTGCTCGATCATACGCAAAAATTCCTAACTTTGGGAAGAAATCAGGCATCAGCAACTGGGCGTTTACTACGGGCCAAATATACATTTTTGTGTATATAAAGAGAAATAATCAACCGATTTCATTGAAATTTAATATATGAATTCCCCGTATTAAAACAATGAAAATGTAAATTTTTTGGAAAGATCAGGTATCGGCAACTAGACGTTTACTACGGGCCAAACATACACTTTTGTGTATATAAAGAGAAATAATCAACCGATTTCATTGAAATTTTATATATGAATTGCTCATATTAAAGCAATGAATATATAACTTTTTTGGAAAGATCAGGGCTCGAGAACTGATTTGTGGGCCGATTTTACATTTTTCACCATATCCACAGAACAAATTGATGGAATTTCTTGAAATTTGATATATGAGTTCTGGTTGTTACCCAAACTAACTGGCGAGCATTTCAGGGAATTCGGGTAGCACAAAGCGAAACTCTACTAAGAGCCAAATTTACATTTTTCTAAGTATGTTAACTATAAGCTTACTAATGTCCTAAAAATTGGAAAGAAGTATTTAACAGACATTTTTATAATATTCTGTAACACTTTCATTTAACTAGACAATACACAATGCGGTCGGTTATGTGCTGACCACATCAGATTTTTTTATTTATGTCTCTCTGATGCCTAACTGATTTCCTTGTAATCAATAATTAAATTTCGATTTTCAAAAAACTTTTCCATTTGTTTTTTCTTTCCTCTTTCACTTTATATTACAAAATGTCTTTATTATTTTCACATCCTCTTTAAAAGGAAGTTGTTAATTCTGTATAAACAAAAAAATAAATAAAATTAATTAAAGTATTATTTTATTACTTTTTTTACACAATATTCTTCAGTTCCATTTTTTTCAATAATAATAATAAATTAAATTTAATTTATGTGTCTTTTATTTCTTATTCAGCTTTTGTTGCCAGGTTTTTTTGTGTAATTCCGCTTATATATAAGATAAAAAAAAAAACAAAAACCTAATAAAATTTTATTTACAATCAATTATTTAATTCTGTTCCTATTGTAAATACACGTTTATGTATATATATATATATATATTGCACATATTCATTTAAAAAGCGTGTAATGATTTAAAAGATTATTTATAATGTTCCGTGAGCAAAATCACATTCATTCGTCGTATAAGATGAAATCTGCAATATTTTAAATTTAACATTAAGATTTTCTAAGATGACTACATAAGATTTTGCATATTAAGACAGATTAATATTAATTGGGATCATCTTAATAACAGAAATCTTAATATATTCTTCTTTCCTTATTTAGCAATTCATTGAAAGACTTTGGAATGAAATTACTCCAAAAATTTATTTTAAAAATTTAAATACGAAAAATTGCCATATTTGAGAATATGTAATTTTTGTTAAAAATAATCAAATATGAAATTCAATTCTCGTATACTCAAGTTCGTGAAACCGATAATTTGGAAAATAAATTTATTAATAATATTTTATAAGCTATGTTAGAAACAATGTGAGTGTTAATGAACGAATTTCGAATTCAATTAAGCAGCACTTAGTAAAGATGAAGCAGTACACAATTCATTACTTAATTATAAAGCTTCGATATTAAACTTCTTGTTGTAAAGTTCATGAAAATTTTCTTAATTGAAAATTCTACATTACAAGGCCCATAATATAGTGTTTTCAATTAAAAAAATGTGTTAACTCCAAACTCAAGTGTTTAAAGTTTCTCGCTTAAGTTTTTTGTTAAGCCCTAATCAAAATTCCATTATATTGTTACTTTCAAGAGCTACTATTGTTCTTTTATGTATAATATTTGGTAGTATGTAAGTAAAGTGCGTGGAATTTAAAAAAACAACAATTCCAAAGGCACGTCATATTTGTCTTAATTGCATTCCAAAGGCACGTCATTAATACATTCTTAATTACATTTCTTTTTATAAATAATTAATTTTCTTTTTACAAAAAAAAAGATTCCAATTATTTGAAATCATTAATTTAATTTTTTCTTTCTCCTTTTTTCTTCTCATTCCAGATTTTCAGAGTCTGATTTGACCAGCTTTTTATTATTATTTAAAATCCATTTATTTAGTTCAAATTTATAACGGGAAAACAAATAAGAAAAAAACAAAAATTAAAAATGTTATTAAAAAATAAATCACTATTATTATTATTATCCTTATTAATATCATCAACATCAATAAATGCTAGACGATCAAGAATAGATAAATCAAAATCAAGTGATTCTGGTTCTGCATCATTATTAACAGATAATATAGCGACAGCATCAGCAATGGAACCAGCTATTTCTGTTGCTGTTGCACCATCACCACCTTCAGCATCAAAACAACCACAACAGTCACAATTAGCGACAGCATCATCATCATCACAACCAGCTGAAATACCATCACCATTGCCATCAGCTATGTTTGTATCAGCATCATCTGAAGAACAAATAAATAAAGAAGATCCTTTACCAAGTGCACCAAATAGTAGCGGTTCAATGGAAGAATATTGTGATCCTGATATGATTAGTTTTGAAATTGTAACAGGGTAAGTTGGAAATTTGTTTTTATTATTCAAAAAAAAATTTATAAATAAATTTTTTATTTTTAAAAGGTATGTCTTCTCAGCACCTAGTAATATTTTAGAACAAATACCAGGTACATTAATGTTAACTGATTGCCTAGAAGCTTGTCAAGGAAATGAATCTTGTTATGCTATTAATTATGAAACTGGATTATGTGTTCTATTTACATCAAATTCAGACAAATTACCAGGTAACAAAAATTTTATTATTTTATGAAAAGAAACTTATAAATTCTTTAAAATGAAATTTTTTTACCAAACTTAATTAACGATTTTTTCTCATTTCTTTTTTTATTTTTGAATATATGTAGGTGCCCTTTCAAGATCACAATTTCCGGTATTCACAATTTACGCCCAAAAAACATGCCTTGGAATAAGACCATGTACCAGAGCTTGGTGTGTTGATCGCGTTCAAGGTCATAGATTAAATAATTATTTAAAGAAAACAGTTAGTGCTAATTCAAGACAAGATTGTTTTGAACTTTGTCTAGGTGAAACTGATTTCAAATGCAGGTGAGTGTTTTTTGATTAATTTTTTAAATATTCTTTCAAAATAAAAAAAATTAAATATACAAAAAAAATGACGGAATCAACAAAAAAAATAATTATTAAAGGCGGCCTTTTTTATTTCTTACAAAAGTCAAATTGACAGAGATAGGTACGACATAAAAACGTTGAGTACGGCAAAAAAAAATTTTTTTTATCCGGTTAATCAAAATTGTATGTGGCAAATCTAATCAAATAAGAATTATTGAAAAATATTTAAACTTACAAAATGAAGAAAAAAATTTTTTTTTTCTTCTTCTAATAGGGAAACGAAAAAAACTTTTCAACCTCTTCAAAATGAGTTGTTCAAAACATTAATTAATATTTTTATCACCTATTTTGCCTACTTTAAAGAAGAGCCTTTAAGTATCAATTTATCTCTTTTTTGAGAGAAAAACATTGACAGCAACAAAATAATAAAAAAACAGTTTTATATGAGTTGAGAGAAAAAAAATAAACCGCTTGTAACGGAATCACATCAAATACGAAAAAATGAAAAAAATATTTTTTTTTCTCTTCGAACGGTTGGCCATTTCTACTTTAGGTTTGATTTGATGGGTAATTTTTAAAACTTTAATGTTTAATTAAGTTTCCCTACAGTGAATTTCAAAATGATGTTGGAACTTTTATCGTAGAAAGTCTCAAATTCAATCAAGATAATTTATACCGGAGGATCAAATTTACAACCAACTCTAACTTTCTAATATTCATACTCTTGTGCGCTTCTTCTTCTTAAATTCGAACTTTCTCTTCGAATTCAATTTGAATATTTGGAGTAAATTAAATAATGGAATATAAAAATCAACATTTATTCGAGATCAAATTTTATATGACATAATTTGAAGGTAAAATTAAAAATATATTGTATTTTGAGAGGCCGCCTCAGAAAATCGAACTTCTAAATTTTATTTTAATTTTAATTTTTTGAAATTCTCATTTTCACCTCTTCTACTTCGTTTGTAAGAATAAGGTATTTTTAATTACAACATCCCTTCATCCTAAATTTTTTGAACTAGCGACCTTTATTCAAGCTAAATTCTGGGATTTTGAGTATTGCAATTAAACACTTTTCAATAGTCTTCTCATGTATAATAGCTTTAACATAGATTTAATATGAAAGTCCACCCCTAAAACACATGTAAAGCATATAAATAAAGATTTGCATTTTTTCTGTGTAATTTATTTTTCTTTAACAAACAAATTGCTCTCCGCTAAAGCTGCATTGATTTCACATACAAAAATCGAATACACTTATTTCTACCACTCTATTCATTCTACATACCACTCACTCTATTCAAAGTGTCATTGTATGTTTTCGATAAGTAGTTGACAAAATTACTAATTTTATTAGCCGTTGTTCCCTTTGTTCTTATAGTAATCGTGCTACTAAGACAAGAATCACTATAAAATTTGAAGTCATTAATCGTTATATTATAAACTAGATGTTATATACATAATACCATTCAGTAATCACACTTTCTGTTTTTCTAATTTTCTCTATATAATTTTATCTTAATAATTTTTAAAGCTAATAACAAACATATAAGATATTTTGTAAACATAATAGGTATAAAAATGTTTTCTTTTCTTGTCAATTTAAACTAATAAATTTTGATTGTACCGCTTTATGCTTGTTGAATATATTTAAAAGGAAAATTGTAAATTAAATAATCAAACATAATTTCTCAATCTTTGAATAAATTCATTTATGAACTCGACATAATAATTATTGTTCTCATATTATATAGTGAAACTATTTCAGTACCTAACCGGCATTAATGTTCAACTGATGAAATATTCACTATGATTGAAATTTAAATGAAAGCGTTTTCTCTATTTTATTACTCAATTATAAAATTTTTTGCTCCTTACTCTCATTTTCTCAAAATTCGGAACTTAATTTCGATATTTCGTCCGATGTAATAATTAATTTTCGATATTGTGCTTGATGACTGTAGTTGAATAACACATTATAGCTTAAATATTTTTACATATTCCTGCTTCCCTTTGTTGGGGTTTTCGTTTTGGGACCTTAAGAGATTCTGTTATAATTTGTAATTCACTTTGTAATTCTCTTCCATAATGTTGTTAAACTATAAATGTTTTATATCTACGATATTAGAATAAAAAATTGTTGTATTTGTAGAGAATCTAATAGATTAAAAATATTATAACAACATATATTTGTTTATGTTTGTATATATATATATATTTATTGTTATGTGATGAAAAATCTATTACATATTATTTGGGTAACCTATAACGATTATTCAAAGTCGTGATGGTTACTTTTTTTTTCTCATTTCTCTTTTTTTTGTTTTTTTACTTATTTATATTTGGTTAAAATTTCTCTTCTTCCTTTTTTTGATACTCAACTTGTAATTTATAATGTACATAGAAATTCTAACGGCTAATAAAAAAAAGATGCAATTTTACAACAACAAAATATATGAAATAAAAAATTTTAAAATTATTAAATGAAGAAGATTAAAGACAAAAATTTTATAACAGATTATATTTCTCTGTCAACAAACTTCCAATCTAATTTGTATAAAAGTTATAAAATAAAAATTTCAAACGAAATATAAAAATTCGTAAACTTTTATTGTACAAGTTATTTAACAACCCGAATGAATTTTAATTTTGCTTTTTTATTTTTTTTGTTTAATTCATTTGAGTCATTTTTTTCTCTTATAATTTTGGTATTTTATTACTCAATATAACATTAAAGAGATAATAATTGTTGATAAAAAGAGATAAAATTTAGAAACAACTTCGGTTTTTCAAGATCGGGAATATTCGGAAATTACTATTTTCATTTGATATGATGGAAGTTGGCGCTCGGTAATTCGGTTAATTCCTTTTCGATAATTATTCCTGAATTTAATAATTCGGATTTTCTTGAATTCCGAATTAATCCGAATTATTCGGAATTTTTCTTGAACTATATGAACGGAATGATGATATGGTGTGGGTATGATATAATATGTACAGCATTTTACCGGGATTACTTGATATCTTCCTACCCTCAAATAATTTATCGAAATTAGATGGCAAAAATTCAGAGCCTCTTTGTTTTATAAATCATGGCCCGAACTTCTGTGATTCAAATAATTTATTTCACTTTAAATTACAGCATTATAATCGGAAGTTATTTAAATTAGTCCTCTTGCACCATATAGTTAAAAGAAAAATACCGATGTTAATATTACAAAAAAAAGAAAATTAAATTCCCATAAATATTTTATTCTAATTTCGTTTTTTGTTAATATTATTTTTTGTACTTTTATAGTTTTCATTCTTCATTTCTTTTCCTATACTATATCTCGAATTTAACAAGTTTAAATCGATGTCTCATTTTATATAAGAGCATAGTTTAAATATTATTATCTTATACTTTGTATCTTTAATGAGTGTTTTATTTAATAGGTTATAAATATCTTTCATGATTCGAGATTCATCTTCAATTGCATATTATTATATGCGATATATATATATCATTTCCATATTGTTATACATATAAGGAATAAAAATATGCTCTTCTATATCGAAAGAGAATCGTGACATTGAATTTGATAAGTTTTTGTCATTGCGATTTTTTTATATGTATATAGGGATTTCGAGACATATTATTTTTATAACAGATTTTATTTTATAACAGATACACACGTACACGAATATATTATAGATTTGTATAACATAGAATTTATTTTACATTATAAAATTTTCAACTGATATTTTGTACTATAAAAATATTTATTTGATTGTTGAACTGTTATAAAAAAAATGTGTAATATATTGCTAATATTTTAATTAACCTGGTAGCACCTAATTGGTCTCTTAATCAAACACAGTTCAATTTGTAATTCAATTGTAAAAAGTGAACGAAAATGAGAAAGATAGTCGATATCTTTCTAATTGATTACATCACAAGACTATGAAAATCGTAAGAGGAAATGTGAGTTTTTATCATTTTTACGAGTATCAAGTCAATTTATTCAAAACTATCGAATATCGTCAAGAATAATTCGTCCTTATTTATTGCTCGAATAAAAGCTTAATATAAAATGAATAAACATGGAATCAGAAAAACGAAAATGAAATCATTTTTACTAATTAGAATTAAAAATAATTTTGTTGCAGGCATTGTAATGCAACACGCATTGCCAATAATATAGAAAAAACATAAAATGAATGTGGTGTTAGGAGAGAAATTAATTATTACAAGCTGATTTACTCGGCAAATGAACTTCTAGGGAAAATGTTTTTATGAGAAATACATATACACATAAAAAGCTATTATAACACTTACTTGACAAGTAAATGACACGTTACCAAAACTCATTCTTATAATTAAAATTATAATTAAATACAAGTTTAATTCATCAATTGAACACTTTGTACATTGACTATATATTAACACATACAAGCAAGTATAACTGAGTTTTTTTTACTAATTTTCATGTAATTCTTAGTTTTTCTACATTTACATTATATTTAACATTTAATTAGTTGGGAAAGAAAAAATTCTGCAAAGTAACAAACAAAAAAAGATGTTATAAAAATAATTATAAAAAAAATTTTGTATGATAAAAAAAGAATTTTAAAACAAGAGAAAAAACTGAAGAATTCCGGAAGTGAACTAAAACTGTAAAATATATTAAAAAAAAATTCACGATTATGAATTACAAGTTCAGTAAAATTTAGAAGATATATGCATGTAAGTAGTATGAAAGCCGCACAGTTTGAGTCAGAACCGAAATTTCAAACAAATTCAAGAGCCTTAACCGTACACTGAATGAGACTGAAAAAGTGTCAATTTTTGCTGGTGTTGTGTAAATAATTTAATTTTACTGTTCTTGGTTACCACATCGCTGAACTACTCTTCAATAAATAATAATTTACTAAAATTCAGTACACATATGTATGTATGTATGTATACGTACTTGCTTTCTAAATTCATTATT